GCGCAGGCTCAGCGGCCATGGCTCACGGGCCCAGCCGCTCCGCGGCATGTGGGATCTTCCCAGACCGGGGCACGAACCCGTGTCCCCCGCATCAGCAGGCGGACTCTCAACCACTGCGCCACCAGGGAAGCCCGGATGAGTGATTTTTAAACTGTTCAGAAGTGCACTGCATTCAAAGTTTGTTCTGACACTGCCAATCACCTCCTACGATGGGAAGTTTATTTTCTAAAGATCTCATTTAGTATCTTTCCTGAAGTGAAGAATAGCCCTGTATCTCAAACTGAGTAGAGCTTTTGCATGGTCCGTTGGGTTTTAACTGGAAGGACATTCTTTATATCCAGGAACTACTTATTTGCGCTTACTTTTCACTCTGCCCCTCTCCTCCAAGAACTGGGGTAGGTATTGCACCCTTAGGTTAGGAATTTCAAGCTCTACTATAATAATAGGGAAAAATTTCTACTACTGAGTCATAATAACCAAAGCTTAATTATGAAATCTCCATTGGGCTCCTGGTACTTGAAAAGATTATTGTGAACTCTTTTATAAATAGAGACATGAACCTGTTACATATTATATACGGCTGAAAGCATATTCATGTACCCACTACCAAGTTTAGGACAGAAGAGCAGGTACCTTTGAAAGCCCTGTGTTTGCTTCCTCAGTGGAACCTTCTTCCTCCCCACTCCAATCATTCCCTTGCCTTTCTTTATAGCTTTAGCACATATGTATATCACTAAACAGTATGCTTGTTTCATTTTGGCTGTTTTAGGGACTCTACATAAATAGATTCATACTTTATTTAGATATTCTTCTGCAACTTACTTTTTTCACTTGATACCGCTTTTATGAGTTTTATCCACGTCAATGTGTTCCTTGTGCTTTGTCACACGGGAAACAATGCTCAACTCAGTAGTTTATTCCTTTTGAGTTCAGCTGTCACAAATAAAGATGCCCGCTCTGGACGAAGACCAGGTCCAGCCAGCCCCTCCCAGATAGAGTTCCCTGTCTGTCTACGAGCTGAGCCACGCACCTCTGGTTCTTGGAAGGGGAAGATGGGATTGCCCCCACATCTTTTATTGCTGCTTTAAATTCCCCACCAGTTCCCCACTGGCCATCTCCTTATTTTGATAGGCGGCTGGAGTCCAAAAGCGCGTGCTGTTGGGCATTGCGATCAGAAACCGAGATGCCAACAGTAATCTGTTCTTTTTAGTGTCCCGGGTGCCTTCGGTCTTCGATATCCAATAAAACGCAGTCAGTTCTGCCTGAACACTTGTTTGGAAAACCCAAATTTGTTCCAGTGTGATTCATGCGTCAGGGCAGAACTTGAGCATAATGCCAATTTCGCATCTGTTTCTGCACAATTTCATCTGAGAGAAACACAAGGCGGAAAACTGCAGCTGCGAATCGAGCCGTGCAGGGATACACAAAATGCACACAGGCACACGTCTCAGACGACTCCCAGCTCACGCATGCACTAGGGGAGTATTCACACATTTCTTAACCATTTAATGTGTGTCTAACTCTGCTACTGCTTTTATGAGGTTCCCATCTTTTTCATGTGTCACCAGTGAAGTTTCTGAGTCCTGTGCCGCTCGCCCCATCTTCCCCACAAGCTGTGTGGTTTTGATGATGCAGTTTTGTGATTTTTAGGAATGCATATGGTGCCTTAGAGAAGCAGTGGCTGTACCGAGGAAACAGGATGCTATTGCAGCTTATTTTTCAGGCTCCTGCAGCAACACGCTCAAATAAACCATCCAAAGTTCAGCATGAAATAGTCTTTTTTTTTTTTATCTTTTCCTGGATCAAGACAATGTTGAGCTTTCCTTTCGATGATCCTTTAATTACCCCAGCCCTTTGCATGAACTGCCCAGACCAGCAGCGGTGTTGGCGACACCGCCAAAGAGTGTGGGTGCACTGCCATGACCGCTCACATCTTTATCAACTCGGCATCTCCGCCGTCTACGGGCACTGCTGAAGCACCGACTTGAAGGAGAATGGAACAGCAATGATTAGAATGATCATCTAAGTGCTTTTAAAATGATTTCTGGCTAAAAGTTTTACTGTCTGGGCTTTTCGGGAATTTGCTCAAGTATCATTATTCTAACTCAGCAGATCTCCTTGGTCTGAAGTTTGGTCTTGGGCATTCCTCCTGATCGATGAGGTCACTTCCCTCATACTCTGGTTACAAGAAAGTGCTGAAAAATATTTATAAGAACTCTAAACTCACAAGGGTGCGTTCACGGCGCATGTACTGAACGTGGAATTCATTTTTTAAAGATTGCTATTACCCTGTCACCAGAAGAGCAAAACGTGGCAAGGGAGTTTACTCATGAGTAAGCTTTCTGAGCAGTAAACCTCCACTGTTGTCCTCTTTCACATTCTATCACAGACGCACTTATGAGTTACTAGAGTGCCATGTTTGTGTGTGTGTGGTTAATGGACTCTGACTCCACAGGCTTTAAGAGTGATGCCTGGTTTGTAAAGACAAGAATTTAGGCATCTGAGAAGCAACAGAGTATAAAGCCAGACAGCTGGATTCGACTCCCAGCTCACCGGCTTAGTGACCTTGGGCAAGTTACTTAACCTCTCTGTGCTTCAGTTTCCCCAACCATCAAATGAAGAATAACAGTACCTACCTCATAGGCTCCCTGTGAGGACTAAATGAGTGAACAGATGTCCAATGCTTGGAACCGTGCTTAGCACAGAAGTGCCACGTAAACATTTGCTATTCTTATTATTGGCACAAAAGAAATTCATTCAGCTTCCACTCACCTCAGGTATACCAGAGCCACAGGCGTATGGCGCAAATACTCGTACCAGGGAGACGGCCAAAAACGCAAACAGCAACGCCCACAGGATGTACATTAGGTAATTCAAAATGTAAGCGCTGGCACCCTAAACGAGACACAGAACAAGAAAGAACACGTGAGCCACGTCAGAGCCGAGCGACGCGCCTGCCCCTCCGCCAGGCAGCTTCTCTCCGGGTCCTGTGTCAGCGAAGAGGCAGGGTTGGCTTTACCAGCTGCTGCTATGCTACAGTCGGTTCACACACACAGCGCCGGCTGCTTCTCCGGGAGCTGTGTACACACACCTTCTACCAGGTGAGGTCTCAGCAGTCACAGAAACTGTGAACGAGGCTTGGTTTTAATCGCTCCAGGCCCTCAAGTTAGTGAAAGGTGTAACAGAAAATTCTGCCTTCGAGCCCCGGGAAGGTTTGTTTGGTCTCGTGTATGGTGGATCAGCCTCTTTGCTTTCATGAAGGCCACACCCGTGCCGCAGCACGCAGCTGCCCTGCCAATGAGGAAGTGTGGGAACTGCATTTTAGAATACTGCTACCCAGATGTGGTCCCTGGACCTGGGCGTGGGCTGGAAATGCAGAGTCTCAGGCCCCGCCCCAATAGTTCAAATTATCTGATGTGTGGGGAACATTTTCTGAACCAAACACACAGTCTGAGGTCTTTGAGGCTGAGGACCTGGTCTGCGAGCAGAGACCACAATTCTCCAGGCCTCAGCTTCTTGCCACCATCTGGATGCCGCACGTGATGGAGAGGGAAAGTGAGGGCACCTACAAGCCAGGCTGTGGGCACGGCTGCACGTGTGCCTGTAAAACGCAAAAACACGCTCCAGGAGACGGCTCTAGCCTTAACAATCACAGATATTCACACCCTATGTGGTGAGAAATCAGACAGAGAAATACATTTCACCTAGTGAAAAATGGACTTTTTTGAGACTAAAAATAACGTCTCACCCTTACTAACAGTAATTCTTTGAATCAAAGTATAAATCTTAGAAATGGCTGAAAAGCGAGACAGCCATATTTCCCCCCAAAATAGGAGAGAAGAAATCAAACATGGTGCCCAGCCAATTCTGCCTGCCCACCTCCATCAACTCAAGTAGAGAATTTATTTTTGTATTTTTGGAAGTAATGGAGAGCACTGAGAATGTGTGAGATTTCAAGATCCCGGTCTACTTCTGAGATTTGAAGGAATTAATTTTCAGCTCCACTGAGAAAGAGGTTTAGCAAATGGCAAAGTGCATTCCAAATGTCTTCAGCTGCATTAAGTCAATCGGGCAAGAGAGCGGGAGAGGGAAGAGGAGAATAAAGAGATCACATCTATATTCCAAGAACACTTCTAGCTTGAATGGTCCTCACATTGCCCCTAATGTGAATCGTTCCAACCTAACTCCCCCTCACCTGGGCTTCTGATCTGTCGATGACCCACAGTCATTGTGGTAACCACTGAATTCGGTTAGAAATTAACCCTTTTCCCCAGCTAAGATGTGTATGTGGATCTGAAGCTTGGAGTGCCATGAAGGCAAGCAACAGGTCTGTGCTTCACTGCTACATCCCCTGGGCCTGGGATATTCCCATCACAGAAGGCCCACAAACATCCTCTGTAACGTGTTCCTAAGATGCACTGGAAGATGGTAACTTAATCCACAATGAGACAGCACTTCACACCTGTTAGGAGGGCTATAATCCAAACCAGATAACAACTGGGGTCGGTGAGGATGTGGGGAAACTGGAACCCACATACACTGCTGCTGGAGTCTCAAGTGGTGCAGCCACTCTGGAAGAGAGTCTGGCAGCTCCTCAAAAGGTTAAATATAGAGTTGCCATGTGACCCAGCAATTCCCCTCCTAGGTATCTACCCAAAAGAAATGAAAACATATGTCCACACAAAAACCTGTAGACAAACGTTCAAAGCAAAATCATTCATAATAGCACAAAAGTGGAAGCAACCCATGTTCCTCAGCTGATGAGTGGAGAAATGAAATGTGCTCTATCCAGACAATGGAATGTTATTTGGCCGTGAAAAGGAGTAAAGTACCAATCTATGGTACGACACAAACGAATCTGGAAGACATTACGCTAAGTGAATGAAGCCAGACACAAAAGTCCACAGGGGCTTCCCTGGTGGCGCAGTGGTCGAGAGTCCACCTGCCGATGCAGGGGACACGGGTTCGTGCCCCGGTCCGGGAAGATCCCACATGCCGCAGAGTGGCTGGGCCCGTGAGCCATGGCCGCTGAGCCTGCGCGTCCGGAGGCTGTGCTCCCCAACGGGAGAGGCCACAACAGTGAGAGGCCCGCGAAAAAAAAAAAAAAAAAAAAAAAAAAGTCCACAGATTGTATGATTCCATTTACATGAAATGTCCAGAACAGGGAAATCTGCAGACACAAGAAAGTAGATTCGTGGTTGCCTAGGGCTGGCAGACTTGGGGGGAAATGGGGAGTGACTGCCGTTCTGTACAAGGATTTTTGGGGGGCGATGAAAATGTTCTAGACATTCACAGAAAGATGGACAAGATGAAAAGGCAGAGGGCTATGTACCAAATGAAGGAACAAAATAAAACCCCAGAAAAACAACTAAATGAAGTGGAGATAGGCAACCTTCCAGAAAAATAATTCAGAATAATGATAGTGAAGATGATCCAGGACTTTGGAAAAAGAATGGAGGCAAAGATCGAGAAGATGCAAGAAATGTTTAACAAAGACCTAGAAGCATTAAACAACAAACAGAGATGAACAATACAATAACTAAAGTGAAAAATACACTAGAGGGAATCAATAGCAGAATAACTGAGGCAGGAGAACGGATAAGTGACCTGAAAGACAGAATGGTGGAATTCACTGCTGTGGAACAGAATAAAGAAAAAAGAATGAAAAGAAATGAAGACAGCCTAAGAGACCTCTGGGACAACACTAAACGTAACAACATTTGCATTATAGGGGTCCTAGAAGGAGAAGAGAGAGAGAA